ATTGCCTTCATAAGTAATGCGATCGTGGCACGCCGTATCCGAAGTGGCGGTTTATTCAAATTTCATGTACCTCGGGTTTCCCTTCACCAAAATTTAGTTTCGGTGCTAATATTCCTAACTCGGTTGATTTCAATATATTCTATATTAGGAGATTTTGGATAAAATAAAATAATTCCCAATTCCCGCGATATCATGTTTTAAAATTAACCGACTTAGCAATATAAGTACTCAAACTAACTTTTGGTGATGAAAAACCCGAAGTACATGGAAGTTGACACGGTGTGCTTGGTTTTAATATAAAAATAGTTTTACGATATTCACACGAATAGTATTTTCGAAACTTTGATACGAATGATGTGAACGTATTTGTAATGTAAAGGGACTTGGGTTAAAGTCCACGATCTTCTGCTCAGTAAGCAAAAACGGTCACCACTAGGTCACCGAGTCCCTTAAATAATAGCAAACCATTATCAATGACGAACATTCAAACCCGGTGCATGGAGTAATTCAAATGAAATGGGGCCTTTGGTTGAAGCCATATATGTTTTGGATCCCGTAACGAACATTCGCCATATTTTACCGATATATCCATATTTTCGATCTGTTCCGATCGAATTATATCACTAGCGATTATCGACGATCACTTTTACAAAAAAAATATAAATAGAAAGAAGCCTGTGATTTAACCAACGATCTTCTGCTCAGTAAGCAAAAAGGTTTTCCACTTGCCCATCGAGCTCCAACATAATAAAAAAACGTTATCAACGACGATTGCTATTCAAATGGAATTGATTATCGTTGAGTTCAGAAACAGACAAACGGTGGAATTCATATATAATTAGATCCTCAGCACCGAACATTGCGGTAAAAAATATTGCTCAGCTTCTAAGGGAAGTTCCGTTAATCATATCACGCAAATTTGGCCCATATTAAACCCCCCCCCCTCCCCCGTTTGTCACATTTTTTGTTTGAACCTTAAATTTTTTTTGTTTGGCTCGTCACAGTTTCCAACCCTCCCCACTCCCACTAAAAGTAGGACATAATTTATGGACGATCCCTAAGCGGTCTCGACCTACGTTTTAAAATAGGAACTTTTTCACATTTCATCGAACCACCGCGATTATGCGTCACTTTTCTGGATCATAACCATCGATACTAGGCCCCGGGATTCCGGAATTTACCGGAAAATTTAAATATTTATTCATAAATTGCATCGATTCAGTTGAGCTTCATTTCCTTGGTTGACATTAATAATAAGTGTGTGGCAGTGATGGCTAGATCATTGGCAAATTGATATTTTTTCGCTCTCATACGCTCTCAATATCACGCGTGATATTGGAGTAAAATATAATGCTTGATATTGATTTTACAAGCTCCTTTGATATTGCGAGACTTCTCACAACGTGTAGAGTAGGGAGCTGAGAGTTGAATCGACGCAAACATGATTCTGTTGCACCTCATTTTCTTGGAAAGAGGAGGTATAATAATGCTTTCTCCTTTTTCTCTTCATCGATGGCAGCCACGAAGCGATTGCTGCCAGCCGTTATGGAAGTTTCGGTTGCGACACAAAACCCTAGTGTAGTATCTATGACATGGTAGTAATTAAATGAAAATTTGATGAACCTTCATTTGGTGTGAAGTCGCCAAAATGTGTTTGGAAGCACTGTAAGTCGACATACGAAATAAATTTATGTCCTGTATGCGCTGAGGTTGATTAAACTTGTGAACGATGTTCGGCTTCGAAACGAAGTGAGCATAAGATGCGAAGTGAGCGAGATGATACGAATAATTTGAATAAGGCTTAGGGTTGGAAGAGTGCGAAACGATGTGTGTCCTGGTAATCGAGTTCGTTCAGACTGACTGACTTCATTCTGTAAACGAGTTTCAAAGCGGACAGTTGCAGATTTTCATCGCTGGAGAATTTAGCAGGCACCGCCTTAGACGTGAATCATGGAAGAGGCTTAAAACCTTGACCAGTTCCCGACATGGCGCAGTTGGTAAGTTGGTGAACCGTTTAAAAAATTGATTGCCTATAATTATTACACATGATTGATTATCAATTGTATAGAGCGAGCAGGCCTCTATAGAAAAAAAAGTGGAGCGAGCAGGTCTCCAGATAAAAGAGAAAACGATTAATCGATTGTATAGAGCAAGCAGGTCCCTATACAAAAAAAAAAAAAACGCTGGAGCGAGCAGGTCTTCATTGAAAAAATATATATGTTGGAGCGAGCAGGTCTCCAACTTAAAATGAATGAAAAACGTTTCCCAAGTCTATCTGGAGCAAGATTTCAAGAACGAGAGGTCTTTGGTCTCCATGTCTGAAAAAGATGGTTAATTATGGAACATTATTTGTTTTGTAACTTGCCATCAAAAATAACATTGATTTCGTAAATTTTAGTGATAAGAAGCTTGAATGAATGATCGTCTTTTGTTTATATTACGAAACATTTCGGTTGTTGCTGTAAAAGAAAAAAGAAAAGTTTGAGAAATAATAATCATTTACGGTTTGAAAAAAAAAAATTATTCAATCGGGAAAACGATCAAAAATTTTGGAAAAAAAATTAAATGAAAATGCTGATTTATATTTGAATTTTTAATGTAGTTAGAATAAAATATGTTGTAAATCGAAAAAGTAAATTAATTACTGATAATAGCGCTGACCGATAGTTATAATGATAATAATTTATGCTTGAAAATAGGATGAAGGTGACGAAATTCAAATTTAATTAAAAAAATATCAATAATAGCATAATTTTCTAAGGATTATGCCATTCCCGAAGACAAATCGACGATTTTCAATAATATCCATACTGAAAAACTAGTTTATCTACCACTGGCGAGGTGATATTTGTCGGATTTGATGGTGGAAAGTAATATTCAGTTGATTAATATGATAAAATATTAAAAAAAAAGTTGTTTATAGGTGCCCGGATAAAATTATTGATTAAAAAAAAAATTATAAATATTTATGAAAACCAATAAAAGGAAATGAACCAGCCTTAGGCTGAAATTCTCGATTATAAAGAAAACTTAATTAAACTAAAACCAATAATTTAAAACATTGGTTTATTTGTAAAGATAAAATCACGTTTTGCACACCCTACTAAATGTGTATGCTTATTTTGGTTTACGACGTGTGCAGGGTATCATCCAGGCCATTTGTGGAATAGTTCTATAATTTGGGTTATCGTTCGAGTATGGTATTTATCTGGGAGGGAGAAGCAGATAGCGCACATGGAATTCATTGTATACTTGTTTTTCTTGCCATGCAAAATTTGAGCCATTGAAATCAAATCAAAACAGGTGTAGCAAATAGCGTATTTTGCTTTGACCGTGTAGTGATGTTTGAGATGGATCAATGTGCAGTGAGAAACTGTACTTTTCTGTTTGGTATTTTAGTATGCAAAATCTTGGTTAATGGTATCTTTCAATATTAATTTGTGTGTATTTTGAATGAATTTAAAAGAAACTGTGTCCCATTGAATAAATAGCTGGAAAGAACAGTTTGTCATAAATTGCTTTACGCAAGATTTCAATACCGCCTTGTGTATTTTTGATCAACGGTAAGAAAAGCACCATAAAATTGCTTGGCTCTTAATGACAGTTCGCGACAGCAGCCATCTGGCTGAATTTGACGTTCCATTTTTCTCTCTTCGCGACTCTCCCTCAGGTATTTATTATTAGGGCAGGAAATAATAATAGTAATAATAAAATGAAACATTTATGAGCACATTCTACAGTTTATTAATGAGAATTGTGTAATATGGTAACTAGGATAACTTATCATGATATTCACATAAATGGAGTTGGAAGACTGGCCGGTACATATGTTGAAATTAATATACTTTAATTAATAGAGTAGAGAAGGAAAAGAATGTAGTATCTGTGACATGGTAGTAATTAAATGAAAATTTGATGAACCTTCATTTGGTGTGAAGTCGCCAAAATGTGTTTGGAAGCACTGTAAGTCGACATACGAAATAAATTTATGTCGCTGAGGTTGATTGAACTTGAGCTTCGGAAATCTCCAAATACACGAATATGACTCGTGTTATGAGAATCGATGTTCGGCTTCGAAACGAAGTGAGCATAAGATGCGAAGTGAGCGAGATGATACGAATAATTTGAATAAGGCTTAGGATTGGAAGAGTGCGAAACGATGTGTGTCCTGGTAGTCGAGTTCGTTCAGGCTGACTCTTCATTCTGTAAACGAGTTTCAAAGCGGACAGTTGCAAATTTTCATCGCTGGAGAATTTAGCAGGCACCGCCTTAGACGTGAATCATGGAAGAGGCTTGAAACCTTGACCAGTTCACGACACCTAGATGGATGACTTTTAATTTTCACAGAGGACGCATAGAATTACCGACAAATCGACATGAAATTTGAACTTAGCTTTGGCTCAAAAATCTCCAAAGGCTGATTCAAATGTGTAGAGATCTGATCGGTCAAAAACACAGCATTTTAATATAGATAAAATTAATTTGTCCAGAATAGGTCAGACACGAACCAACTCATAAATTTTGCAAGCGTATTCGTGGCTTAGATTAACGTTTTCCGCAAACGCTAAGACAGATGTCTGTAGTGTGCTTTGAGCAGAAATTTCATGGTGATTTCTGTTATAGCACCACCTTACGGTAACCTAGCTTTGTGCTAAGAGAAAAACTTTAGCAGCGGGATTTTTTTTTTTTTTTTTTTCCTTTATTATAGAGATTTTTAGCCTGAGGCTAGTTCATCTCTTATTTAGCAGCGGGAGTGTGTATCGCAGCCAATATTACTCCGGTGGGCTGTCACTGTACAACGGAAATACGAAAAGATTCATCACGTTTTCCAGACGTAGAGGATAAAAGTAATATTTAAAAAAAACGCAATAAATAGTTTTTCAAGTTGATCCTGTAATCTGAGGTGTTTTATTACGCGGCACAACATTGTGGCGACGAGTCGGTTCGGTACGAAGTAGTTTCCGCGTCGATTCTGTGAAATTCATGATTTGAACCTCACAATGGCAAAAGTCGGAGATCTCGCTGACATCCTCCAGCAGATGAGCCGTTTAATGGAGGCGCAGGCTAACGCACAGAAAGCGCTTCTGGAACAGCTTGTGAAACCGAACGATAACGAGTTCCTGATGGAGACACTGTCAAAACCGCTCCCGGAATTATCATACGATCCGCAAAACGGAATGGTTTTCGACAAAAGGTACGCGCGACACCAAGAAGTGTTTACGTTATGTGAACTTTATTCTACCGAAGACCCCACGAGAAGTTGCGTTTGCGGACACAGTCAAAACGCTGACGATTTTGTAGCCTACGCCAGTGCTGTGAACAAATCGTACGAAGATTTCAATGTCAACACCATCACAGCTGATCAATTTAAGTGCTTGATCTTTGTCGCTGGGCTGCACTCAGAGAAAAACAAGGACATTCGAACGAGATTGCTAGCGAAGATGGAAAATGAGACAGCGGCGGATCCAATGACTCTCAAAAAGCTGTTGTTGGAATGTCAGCAAATGAAAAATCTCAAACACGACACCGCTGTTATTGAGAATCCAAAAGCTGCCGTGTACGCTGTGTGTGATGCTGTTCGAAACCACGAAGCAGGAAGAAACCGGAATTACAAGTGGACATCCGAGAAGAAGTAACATGATGCTGAAAGAACTCCACGACGACCGTGCTGGCAGTGCGGGCAGATACACTTTGTTGCTGATTGCTCGTACACAACTCACACCTGTCGCAGCTGCGGAAAAGTGGGACATAAGGAAGGCTATTGCAGATGCTTCTCGAGGTCGGCAGAAACTGCTTCAGCTTCATCAGAATTACCAGCAGTTGGTGGAAAGAAAAAGAAAAACAAGCACCAGAATAAACAACGACATGAGCAAACTGGTCAATCGAAGGGAGTATATGCAGTTAACAAGGCCGGTGTCATCGGAAGACGTAAATACGTAGAGATTTGTATCAACGATTTTCCGATTGAGCTCCAGATCGATTTTGGTTTGGACAACACAATTGTTTCTGAGGAGTCACTAGCACAACTCGGTGATCCGGAAACATGTTCCACGAGTCTGAACGAACTACTGCCTCAGGTAAGCCACTTCCACTGAAATCGGAGTTCGAGTGCCAGGTTACATTGAAGGGATTAACCAAGCGGTCCTTATGCTACGTGACAACGGTGAAAGGCTTCAACGTTCTCGGAAGTGATCTCATGAATGATTTTGGTCTGTATGACGTGCCGATTAATTCCTTCTGCAGGCTAGTTTCGACCATAGGAGATTCGGAGGTGTATTTCCATGCACTGAAGGCAAAGTATCCAGTGGTTTTTCAACAAGGACTCGGGCTTTGTACGAAAACGAAGGTTCAGCTTTTTCTTCAACCAGGGGTGAAAACGGTTTTCAAACCTAGAAGATCGGTACCGTTTCATTCACAACGGCTGGTGGAGAAAGAAGTCCAGCGATTGCAGAACCTTGGCGTTATCGTACTCCCAACGACATTTTCGCAAAGCTTGCTGGCAGTCAGTACTTCAGTGTGCTGGACTTGTTAGACGCTTATCTGCAGAGGGAGGTTGAGGAGGATTCCCAGAAGTTGCTAACAGTGAAAACCCACAAAGGGGGTAAAATCAGCTCCTGGAGCCTTCCAAAAAGTTATCGACAACATGATTGGCGATTTGGAAGGGACTGAATCTTTTCTCGATGACGTTATTGTGTTTGGTAAATCGCATGCTGAGGATGACAGGAACCACGATAACACCATTCGACGGATCCAGGAATACGGTTTTCGACTCAAGATTGAGAAGTGCAAATTTGGCATGACTCTAGTGAAGTATTTGGGACATATCATCGATCGAGATGGTATTCGCACAGATCCGGAAAAAAGGTACCGGCAATTGCTCAGATGCTTCCACCAGCAAATGTCACAGAGCTACGTTCTTTCTTGGGTGCAGTGAATTATTATGCGAAGTTCAAGGACAAGTAGTGGGACTGGACGGATGAATGTCAGCATTCGTTTTTGAGGTTCAAGGAGCTACTCAAGTCGGACCTGATGTTTTAGTACGCATCGATATCACTGGCACCCACGGAGTGTGGTTATGGGCAGATCGACAAGGAAGCGTTGGCATTAGTCTACGCCGTGAAGTTGTAACCACATGTGAATACCGCCCTTAATTAGCTATGAAGTTTCTCGTTCGTTAAAAAAGTTTTAACCTTTTTCTGCAGCAACTTTCGCCATCTCTCGGCGAGTTGGTTGAGGGAGTGATGAAAAGCTCGCGCGTGAATTATTCGGTGAGTTCCACTCAGAGCTATTTGAATTTGACCAAAAGATGGGCTAAAGGAGGAATCTAGAAAAATAATATTAAATACACGATTTCCTCACACCGATGATTTAGGTAGCCCCAATTTGTTGGTCTTTAACAATAGCATATGGAATGCCAATTATTCAGCCTCCAAAGCCATCGGCTTTGTTTGAGGGAGAGAATTTCTGGTTTGGGTTTCAAATTTTATTAAAGTGGAGACCGTCATCTCTAAAAGTCGGTAGTTGAGCAAGTGCGCCTAAAATCCAGATTTGGCAGAAAATTAAATTGTGAACGGTAATAAGCCAGTGAATCAAGTTCAAAAAGTTAAATCTATTAGAATTCCTTTAATAGAATAACAAAATTGTTAATCGCTGTGTGAAAACTGATTGTACTTGAAGGTAAATTTGTGAAATGAGTTTCCGAATTGTTAGCTAAACAGTTAATTTTGTGTAAACAGTTAATTTTGTGTCAAATGTTAATTCAGTATTAGCGATTAATCTACTTGTGAATTCCGCTAGGAATTCACATTTCACATTTCACATTTAGAAAGTTAGAAAAATCAAGTGAATACGGCGCACTAATTAAATTTTGACGCATGTTGAACAGATTTAACCCACTGTTCGACGTGGGTGCGTGTCGGGGCTTGGAAGCCTGCGAGCTGGACCGAACCTCGCATAGGATTGCGCACCCGCCTTTCGACCCTGGGACGAAGCTTTTCTCACCGGAGTGAGACCGATCCGACAACCACCCAACGACGCCTGATCAAAGCTCTCCACGATTGATCGTTCGAGGCATCCGTCAACCACCTCGATAGCTTGTGGGCGCAGTAGTAGCCGTCGTTGGAACTGCAGCAATCGGAAAGCTTCCCGTTCGGTCGATTCGAGTGCCGGTCGTCGACATCAGCCAAACGGTTCGACTCGGTGTGTGTCCTGGATAGCGATACCACGTCCGAGTCGGCGTGCGCCTCGGGTATTACGCTTCAACTGCTCGAACACGTGTTGGATACTGTTCGTCCGATTTGAACCAGCTACGGGATTAGAGCACGGTTCGGAAGGTCCACGACAGGAATCGGACCCTTTTCCGTGCCACTGCATGTTAGTGTGGCCTGCCTGCTGACATCCGCCGTGGGAAACCCCGTAAGTCATCGCCCCTTTTGGATCCACCAAATCAAGGTCAGAACTTCTTTTTTTTTCTTATGAGCTCAAAGAACTCCCTGTACATAGTTGTGACGTCACCCTAGCTTTAAGAGAAGATTGAAATCCCCTATAATACAGTGCACTTTTAAGTCGTTGAACTTTCTCTAAAGCTTAGTAGCTCATTTTTCGATTTGGAGAGTTGATGCCTTCACTTTGGGTGACAGGGTTTAATAGAATAGTTTTTCTTTTATTTGCTGGATAGTTTTCATTTCGCTATCTTTAAATTTCATTTGGTTTTAGTAGTATTTAAGGAAATTCAATCGACCCTCGTAAACGTCAATTGGGATCGGTGTTTGAGCATTATTGACCCACCCTGAAGAGAGCCGCCAGCCGGGCCTCTTGATCAGCGTCAGCAGTCTCTCGATTCGGAGAGTGGCGCTTAAGGCTCCACCGGAATCAGAAAATTGGTGATTTTGTAAAAAAATCATCTGGCATCAAAGAAATGTATTGCGACATGTAGTGCGATTCTCTACATGTTGCACTAACATATTTGCATATACATTCGGGGGTAAAACATATATTGGGAATTTAGTGATGGGTGAATATTATGGCTGATGGGGGATTCAAGTGATGGGAAATGGTAGTTTCAAAATTCATACCTTTATACAGACATATTAAGGTAATACAATAATTCTTATGCACCATCTTCCAAATATTGATTAATATCCCATTTCCTGTTGCTGACGTGACAGACATGGTCAATTTATAATGGCTGTAAAGCACATTGAGGAAGTGATCGATGTGTATATTTCAGAAAACCATGTAGACAATAACTAGGCGGCTTTGTAGTACCATATTGGCAAAGGTTGTTGTTATTGATTTACTATAAAAAAAAAAGTTTGTGAAAGTTATGAAATCATTAAATCTTCAGAAGATATTTTGCACTTGTTAGATAAAAGAAGAGATTGTATAATAAGTGGTTGACACATGAAACCTGTCAGTTTCACTTTCAGAGAGTCACAATTTTATGATCGATGAACATTCATTCTTCATGAAGAGAGCATATTTACCAGGGTTGTGGCCATTCGTTTTCTATACAAACTGGTTTTTCAACATTATAAAATCAATTGATTTTATGCTTGTAATTTACAAGCAGAAGTTGTAATTTATATATTTAGCACATGAATATTTTCAATTATGCGAGAGAGTCACAATCATCTATTTTATGATCGGTGAATATTCACTCTTCATGAATAATTAATAATCATTGATTATCATATAATGAATCTCTGAAAGCAAAATTGACAGGTTTCATGTGTAAAACACATACTTTACAAACTCATCTTGTATCTCGTATGTGAAAAATATCATCCTTAGTCTTGCAAGAAAGTAGGTTGATCGGCAATTATTATTACAATGAACATCAGAAGATCATAAACATGTACTAGGTCTCTGGTTATTTCTGGTTAGTAACTTATGATTATGAAGACATCTAATTTTTCAATTAATCCAGTCATGTCTCTTCGAAATTCTCGCAAGAGTAGGTTGATCTGTATCTAAAGGAAGGAAATGCATCTAAAAACCTTCAGAAGATCATGCACCTGCTCTATGGTCTCTAAATATTTTGTAAATTCTCCTGGTTGATGGATTTATGACTTCTCCTTATATCTGGAATAAATTGAACAGAAATTGTTTCAAAGACCTTCAGAAAATCATGGACCTGGATGTTTAGGTAAATATTCTCGAGATCTCTTATTGTTCAATAAATGAAATCATGACTCTTAGATATACTAGCATGAAAGTAGATTGATCAAAATTATTCCAAAGAACTTCCTGATCTGCATCCATCTGCACTAAAGTCTACGGATATTCCAAGTTCGTTATTACTTATTCTAAAAACCTCTAATTTCTCAATAAATCACGCCAGGACTGTAAGAAATTCCCACAAGAGAAGGTTGATCAGGATTTTTTTCCAAAGACCTTCAGAAATTTATTGGCTCTTATTGTTCAATAAATCAAATCATGCCTCTTAGACATTCAAGCAAAAAGGAAGGTTCATCAGAAATTATTTCAAATACCTACAGCTGTGGAAGTGCTTTTAGAAAACTAAGTTGAGATCACGCAATAAGCTAATATGCAATATGCAATAAGCTTGAAATGCGAAGAAAAAGAAACATTCTCGCAAGAATGAAGGTTGACCAACATTATTCTAAAGAACTTT